AACCGATGAGGGTGAACATGAAAGAACCTGAGGAGTTGGAACCCATGAAAAAGATAGACGAAATCAGGAGATTCTCAAACAAGGAGCTGAGACTCACTAAAGAATCTATGGGAGCATTGCCGAAATCCAGTGAATACTGTGGACCGATCAAGAAGAAATCGTATGGCTACGTATCCGGGATCATAGGGATCGCGTACAATCCTTTCCTGAGTGAAGACATACGCGATTGCTTCTTCGATTATGAGCAGGCGGTGTTGCTAAGATTCTGGACGTCCAGAATTGTAATGATTAAGAGCGTTAACAATCCACAAGCCAAATTGGGACTGGTCTTGGAAGAAGAGGTGACTGCACCTTCAGTACCAAAATCCGACAAAAGAGTGGAGTTTGGGTTGGGATTCTCAGATGAATTACTGAGAACGAGCTTGATGACAGTGTGGGAATTGATGAGGCCATCATGGTGTCCTAGTCCCAACGCTGACTCAATATTACGGGCGACACAAGACGTACAGAGGGAACTGAATGCAGACTGTAACCTGCGTGACCTCAACATCATATATATTGTGATGATAACAGCCTCTAAGAGCAACGGAGAAGATAAAGTGGAGTTGCCTGGCTGGGGACCAGAAGACTGGGTCAAACCTGGTAGCTGTCTGGCGGAAGTCTGTGGACTGGAGGGTCACGTTTGTGGAGGTTTGGACTGTGTGAAGACCCTGGAGAAACAACACAAGCAATTGACGGTATTGTTTGGAAATGTAGTGATGAAAGCTAGAACAGAAACGGAACTGATAGCAGATTGCCATGGAGGAACCGATATGAATCTAGTGACTGCACTAGGATTCTACAGCATGTTTGGTTCTTTAGAGTCGCTATTGAATCTGGAACAGAAACATGAGGTGGTCACAGCCATCAGTGTAGAAGTATTCCCAGGAGTTCTGCAGACTGAACAGAAATACATAGGGAAATGGAGGGAAGCAATCGAGACAGAAATGAACATCAGACACAGTGAGACTTATTGTAGACCATCAGGAGCACGATATTTGGTGGGTTCAACGTTGGCTCCAATGTGCAAGAGCAGATACCCTGTACATTTCGTGGCTGTGGACGTGAAGAGTACAAGAACGATCGTGGATCAAGCCTTCTCAGTGCCGAAGTGTGTGAGATTGGCGAGAATGTCTGAAAAGTCTTACGAGTTACTATGTAAGATGTTCTCAGCAGTTCCAGAGAGAACCAAAGAAGAATTGGAGTCAATATTAGGAAAGAAGTTCATGGGATACGTGAGCGGGAACTTCAGTGACTTCGAGAGACAGAAACAGAGAGGATCAACTGTCACAGATTACAATGCAGTAGATGAGAATGATGAAGTCCACCGAGTGATGATGGAAGTGGAACCATTACTGGAAGCTTCGGGAAAACGTAATTGGAGGAGCATCATGTTGACACATGACGAGTTTCCTTGCCACTGCTTGCTGCAGACCTGGTGGTATCCCAAGCGAAGTAATCTGATGTTGATCTGGGACTCTGGAGAGCTGCTCTCCATGGGTTTACCAGATTCATCACAGCCCGTAACGATAGTGATAGTGGGAGTTATGATGGCGATAAGATGGCTGGAAGCTCATGTGAGAGAAAATAACAGACAGGAGGCACCGACGAGAGAACAGTTGCGGAAATTAGATTGTCTAAAAGATTTAGATCTTTTTGAGACAATGTGCAAAGTTCTAAACATTCCGATGGAAGTGAAGAAGATATGGGCAAGAAAACGATTGATGCCATGGTTCAGAGCTAACATGACTGCATGGTTGTACGAGTATGCGAAAAAGCATATGTCGAAGCACGGCAGGTTGTACAGTGAACATCAGCTGGACATTGGAGCAGGAGCTTTCAAGCGAGCTCTCGTGACTCATCGGAATGCAGTGACCACCGCTGTGAAAAGAATTTCCAGGACGAGTGAACGTAGTGGAAAGGAGAAGGCAGAGATGTTAAAGGAGGATTTGGAGAGAAACGTGACGTTGTGTCTCCACAACAGCTTCTGCAGGAACAGAGAATCTAACGTGGATCCCCTACCTTGTTGTAAACAGAGGGTGGAAGAGCAGAAGTGTTGGAGGACGGCTTCCAGCAGCGTCAGGATAGCTAACGACGTGTTACAAGATACAGAAACTGAGAGTGCAGAGTCAGTATCACAGGAGGAAGAAATGGAACACTGACGGATGAATGAAGAACAAGATGAAAAATTAGATGAAATTAGAAAAATTTAGAAGTTTTAGAACTTCTAAACGACGAAAAAAGAAGAAAACAAAGGAGTGATGAAGATAAATTAAAACTCAGATTTGATTATGTGTGTGAAAAACTCAAGTGAGAAACCAAGCAACCAAGTTGTAATTGAAAACTGAAACATTAAGTTGAGTTTTGGAATTGTTGCATTTATAGATTTGCGTTTTGATTTTAGTTGAAGTGGCTTTAGAGACACTCACTTACTATTTGTTTAGGAAGGCTTAAGTGAAGGAGTATATTTAAATATTCCAGCCTGCATGACTGTTTTTAACCAGCTAGGAGAACTGATCACTTTGTGGTGACATGGAAGACTTGAGTAATCTCTCGAAGAGGGAGATTGTTTCATTGTTCTTTCTAACCACAGAGTTTCTTAGTTTTAGTATTCAGGACAATAACAAGCAAGATTTCCGAAGGGAAAAGCGTAGTAGGATAATTTTAGCTTGTTGATTGGCAGGACTGTCCTGCAAGCCAACACCTTTTAAATCTAAGAGAAAAAGTTTTAATCGGGACATTGACATTGGAAGTCAGAAAATATGTTTTATCTTAAGTCATATCCTCAATGTGCAGATTAATGAGAGAATTTGAAGGCTATAGTGATGTAGTATGATGCCATTTATATTCTGCAGTGAGTCGATGTGACGTGGATAAAAGTGATTTCGTGCATTTTGTAAATTCTGTTCGATGACACTGTAACCATTTTACGAACATTGCGTGATTCAATGAGGACATTGACCGGACTGTCCGGGGAGTATGTGACATTCGACCGGAAAGTGAAAAATGCAATCTCTGCAGAATTCGAGTTTTTAGCAGCGAGCCTTCCGGATTGGTGATTATTAAGAATTAAGAACGTTATTGGAACGATTGGCCAAACGGTGAGGGCTGGAATATTCTGGTATTTTAAAATTTCAAAAATTCGAATTATGACGTCATATTTCTGAGAAACGTCAGAAAAGCCCATTTTGGCTAAAACAAGAAAGAAAAACAGAACAACATTAGCTGCGCTAACAACAACTACGAAATCGAGATTGGAAAACGACAACGAGTTACAGAGTAACAGAGAACACTCCGAGTTGCAACTATTGTGCCGCTACAATAGTTGCAAGGCCGTTGCGAACAACGGTGAAGGGTGAAAGACGGCCTTCTGGATTAAGATGAAATCAGGATTAACAAGCTTGATCCAGCGGATTTGTCAATCCGGAGGGGTAAAGGAACTGAAACTTTTATCCTGTTACATAAACTTTTAGCTTCCTGTCATGTCCTGACTTGAATTTAATTAATATCTAGATTCATTTTGATAAGGATGAGAAGCTAGGAGTTGGGGGAAAGGGTTGATCCATCTTCGATGGAGATGATGATTTTTATCTACTGAACAAAAACAATAGTAATATAATAAGTAGTAGCCCTGTTTTTAGGAGTGACCTCGTGGTCTGGGGATACTGAGACCCAGCCATGAGCTCACTACTTCTGCATGTAATTTAGTTAATTTGAGTGTTTTGACCGAAGCCGAAAGCAGTAACCTTTTGTCGACCCGATGTTAGAAAGACCACCGAAAAGTACTGGCTTGGTAGAGACGGTGAAAAGCATGCAAAGCTCTGTTTAGACGTTAGCCAGTCGTCTTAAGACTTAGTTTTGTCTTCCGTCGATATGTATCTTCCGGGCGAATGTTACATAGATGTTTTTATGGCGCTCCTGGGTGTTATTCTTTTTAACATCATGACCGGCAGAACCGTTAACGAGCACTCCGCGCCGTTAACGAGCACTCCGGCAAAAAATCCAGGCTTGGTAAAAAAACATCAGAAATCAAATGAGGCCAGCAATTTTTGCCAAATTTATCAATTCAGACATTAACTTAAAAATGTTTCTAAATGCTGAGCAAAAGAGCTTTGGTATGATACCACATTTGACATATGAATTTCAATGCTCAGCTGTTTCTGCACCCATTGTAACTACAAAAAAATTGCCACGTGCAGTCGTTCGTTGCTGAAAATCGCTCGTTCCAAAAACTTCCACTTTGTCCATTTTCTCTAATATGCGGTTTCTGAGGCCAGTTAGTTTCTCAAATTCTATATGTGCGTATGAGCGCACATATAGAATTTGAGAAACTAACTGGCCTCAGAAACCGCATATTAGAGAAAATGGACAAAGTGGAAGTTTTTGGAACGAGCGATTTTCAGCAACGAACGACTGCACTTGGCAATTTTTTTGTAGTTACAATGGGTGCAGAAACAGCTGAGCATTGTTTTAAGAAGAAATCGGGACGAAGAATCCCCAATAGCATTGCTGTAAATACCCTGCAAGGTGAATTCCCGTAGGTTCCAATATTCATAGGTTCCAAAATAAAAAAATCAGTCGCATAAGTTCCAAAATTTATCTTCTTGAATTCTGATTGGTTTAAATTTGAGCCAACGAATTTATGGATCGATTGTTTACTGTTCAACCAGCATAAACTGAAGCTGCAGAATAGTGACCGCCGCAGCCGCGCCAACGTGTTGCGAGCTTGCCACCAAAGGGTAGGACTCTATTCGAAATTTAGAGCAGGTTATCGCCGCAAAGCGGCGACCTTAAACCGAGACTCGGCTAATTTAGTCTTTTGACCAATTGAAAAGATTTGGAACTTATGCGACTGCTTTTTTATTTTGGAACCTATGGGACTGATTTTTTATTTTAGAACCTATGAATACGCACCACCCTGCAAGAACAACAACCTAATGATTCTAGTACTCAATGATTTCAGATTGGGTGAGATGTGACAAAATTGATTAAATGCAGAAAGAAAGAGCGTTACCGATTGCTATCCGGCCAAAACCGCCGAATCAGTTCATTTTGGTACGCTGTTCTTTTTAATGCATTCTACTACATGATTATACTATAAGTTCTGGGAATTGTGGTCAATTTAGCTCAATCCACAAAATTCATGGGTCGTTAACAATTCACCCAGTTTAGTTTTCAGGGAACTCCGCCTAGTCTCGCATTATAATAATTGTGTTTATTTTCCAGCTGAATAAATGCGGCAAAAATAGTGAGAGAAGCCATTTTGAAATAGAATTCATATGGAATTTTTCACCCGGTGCGGCACGTCCTTCTAGTATTCAGATCAGAATTCGGCGTAATTACAATAGAGGGGTGACTGCATCTTATTTTTAACCACATGAAACCTAAACTGGTCAAACTGAAAGAATTTTGAAGGCTCATCTCCGATTTTGTTTCCAACTAATTATTTGTGAACAATTTTATGTTGTTAAATAATGGGACAATTTATTTTTCATTAGGGACCCCTGAGTTTTCGCCTGACATCTCGATCACAATTTGCCTAAAAAATTTTTCCGCGAAGTTTTATTGTTGGTTTATTAATTTTTCTGAAATGAAACACTAGCGAGCATGCTGAGTGAGACAGAAGTTTCCTTCTTTTTCCAACCTAAGTCGCAAATAATTTTGCCTTTTTGGGGTGCTTTAACGCCCTTTTGATAGCATGTGCTTTGACACTCGGTTAGTAATAAGTAATTATAGTTGAAGCAATTTTAATTCGTCAAATGAACCGAAAAAACTGTTTGTTTCAAACAATAGTACAATAATAAAAACTGTATTTCAGAATTTTACCTACTGAATATATTTCGCAATTTTTTTGAAATGCATAATTTATACAATTTGGTATTATGATTTCCTATTTATTTTATTCAAAATTAGTGTGGATGCTTCCAGCTTGCTATATTCCAAAGTATTACTTGCAAAGTTGTGTCTATTTGTATTTGGTGCCAATTTTGCCGCATCGCATTGGCAATTTATTAGCATATATAGCTGCTTTATTTGTGGCTAAATTTTGTAACTTGTCAACGGTCCGCGGTGAAGATGCGAGGTCAGGGGATCCTGTTCTTCTAGTCGTTGGATCGAATCCGCCTTAGCAGAAGTTTTTATTTTGATGGCTTATTTTACCTTTTTTTCTTATTTCACTTTATGGAGCGGTTTTTGTCTTTTTTGCGCGCTAGTGTTTGCGAAGAGCAGCTTCGCCTTTGCGTTAAGTTTCCAATCGAAACGTACTGATTAGTCGTACTCTTATTTCTGTGCATATGTTGTAGGTAGCGTCATGTTATGATTTACGTTTTTCAATATAAGTCGCAAATAAAAGTGCTGATTTATTTGTTGACACTTTTGCCTAACATCTGGTTTACTTTTGCTGTCAAACTTTTCCGTCAAATCTAATCAAGGGTTCAATCAAAAAACAAGTGGGAACTTTCTTTGCATGTGCAGCTACGGTCTCGTTTTGTAGAAAATACTGTTAGACTAGACTACCTATCAAATTTGAGACAAAAGTTTCACTCGAATGTTTTTTTTTTGTCGAAAACTTTTCTGTCAAATCCACGATCGAGGGTTCAATCAAAAAACAAGTAGTAGCAACTTTTTTTGCATAAGCAGCTATGGTCTCGTTTTGTAGAAAATACTGTTAGACTAGACTACGTATCAAATTTGAGATAAAAGGTTCACTCGAATGTTTTTTTTTGTCGAAAAGTATTCTGTCAAATCTAAGATCAAGGGTTCAATCAAAAAACAAGTAGTTCTTTGCATAAGCAGCTATGGGCTGATTTTGTAGACAATACTGTTTGACTACATACCAAGTTTGAGATAAAAAGTTCACTCGAAAGAACAGATGCTAAGAATTTTTTCTGCATAGCAGCTGAGCCCAATTTTACGCAGAAAAGACCTTCTAAAACTAACTCTGAAAATATATTTTTCAAAACAATAAAATGAGGTCAAAGCTGCTGATGCTGAGACGATTCCTACTGATGCTGAGACAATTCTTTGATTTTTCAATTGAACACTGTATCTTGAGAAGTCAAAAAGTTGCAAGTAAGTGAGTTGCAATGTTATCCCCTGAGTAGTAGAAGAGTGGGCTGATCAGGGGGGGGGGGGGGGTGGGTGGGTGCAGACCCAATGTTTCAAGATTGGGAATATTTTAATACATGGCAAAATCTATAACCTATCTTAATACAATGGAAATCTTTTCCCTATCTTGATACATAGCTTGCAGACAGTATGTTCTATTCCCTATCTTAGAACATGAGGGTCTGCACCCACCCCACCTCCCCTGATCAGCTGATTAGCGATTATTTCTAATTGTGGGAAGGAATCCAGGCTTTTCCCCCGCCTCGCACGGTCATCAATTTTTTTAGTTGAACGAAAGGTTTTACTATGTTGGTTAATGAGAACAAATATGTTTATCATAGCCTTTTTTGTCTGCTTAGCGGCCCTGCTCAATTTTACGCAGAAAAGAGTTATAAAACTAAGAAGTCTGAAAATATTTTTTTAAACATTAAAATGAGGTCAAAGCTGCTGATGCAGAGAAAATACCCACTCTGATTTCTCGATTGAAACCTTTACCCCCGAGAAGTCAAAAATTTCTTTTGAAGTAATGACCTTTTTTGGAAAGTTTTTGATTTTCTCGAAAACTACGGTGCCAAATCTGACATTAATTGTTAAGTAAGTTGAAGGTTATCCCCTGAGTATTAGAAGAGTGAGCTGATGGGGCAGACCCCCATGTTTTAATATAGGGAATATCTTAATACATTGCAAAACCTATGACCTATCTTAATACATGGGAAATTTGTTCCCTATCTTAATACATAGCTTGCAGATCGGATATTCTATTCCTTATCTTAAAACATAACTGCACGCACCTCCCCCCCCCCTACTATCAGCTCACTCTTCTTCTACTCCCCTGCTTAGCGCTTATTTCTAACTGTGAGAAGGAATCCAGGCTTCCCCCCACCTCACACGGGCATCAATTTTTTGGTTAAACGAAAGGTTTTACGATGTTGGTTATGGAGAATTTTCATAACAATTGGAAAATTTGATCAATAAGTTTACTTCAAGAAATTTGCAGGTAAAGGAAAGGAAAAAGAGCCGGAATCCGCTATGGACTTAAGAAATATTTGACATTTTGACCCATTTTTGGCCTTCGTTCAGTTTCCCGACAAGGACCGTGCCATTTCTGAATTTAAGAATTCAATCGAACGCAGATTTTTTCTAATTAAGGAGTTTTATCTGTAATTTTGATAAAAATAACCTCTATACTTTCTAATTGTTCAATTTTTGTCACAATCTGAAAATTCCGCATTACCTCCGACATCAGTATATTTTAAGAAAAATAATATCAAACTTGAACCTCTAGCTTCAGTATATTTTTAAATCAGTTTCACATTTTGAAGCTTGTTTTTGCCGTTTCATGGCTTGCGTTTGCGAACTCAAAGCTTCGTTTATGTTGATGATTTGATTTGTTGAATTGTTCATATGCGCAGGCTCAGTCAACCGACGCTGTACAGCAACTTTCTCCTTCGGGTAACGCCTATGGAACAAGTCAGCCGATCGCAATCACTGGTTCTCCTAATCCGAAACAAAAAGGCGTCCAGTTTGCACAGCCTGGCTTTTCTTTGAATACAGCTCGTCTAAACTTGGAAAATGCTGCCGCTCATTCAGCGCCAAACAACACTGTTAACTATGGATCACTGGACAGCAGGCGTTACACCAAAATTGGCCATAAAGTGCCATTACAGTCCATTCCACAGCAATCCCAAATCAGTCCATCTCTCCCACCGTCTTTGTTCAATAATATACAACTTGCTGGCTCATATCAAAGCTCAGAGGTCTGTCTTTTTATTTTTGTCTTTTAGTTTTGAGTCGATGAACGTAGTGAAGGCTCTTATATATGTCTTGATGATTTTTTTTTTTGCTTTTTTCTGGTTTACTTTTCGCGGTTTGACTTAAGTTCAGTTCATTTCTTTTGTTTAAAGGAAGGCAAACTTCTATGTCAAACTGCAAAAGTGTAAAGGTCACAAAAAACGTGATCGACTTCTAATTTCGTAAATGGAAATTAATTATCAGATTTCCCAGCAAAAGAAACTTCATCTTTTGTTCCAGCTTTCTCAAATAGGGTTAATTTTATCAAAAAGGGTCAAACATAAATTGCTCTAGAAATTCGAAGAGCTCTGAGGGCATAAATTTGTCCTTTAAATTTCGCAAGTTGAAGTTTTTTCAAAAAATAAGTCAGTTTTGTTTCTGTTTCGATAAGTTAACTGAATATTTTCGTACTCTATGTTCTTTCTTAACTTATTAAATGACGGTGTTTTTCAAAAAGTGAGAGATGGTGTTTTTGTAGGATAATGACTCGCTTTTTGCGGACTCCGATTGCATGGAAGATGGTGGCAATGCAACTGCGACGCCAGAAGTGGACGATGACGAAGATACCCTGGACCGCATTAACCCAACAATTGACTTATCACAGGTTTGACTCTACTTAAGACATTTTGAAAAGAAAAATATCTGGATAGTTCAAGTTTCCCCTATTTCAGTACCCCCAGTTCCAGCTAATCGAAATTGGTGATGGTTCAGGACAGATTATATCTAGCCCTAATTTCAATAACAGCTCGAACTCGACAATTCCGTTTTCCACCTCTTGTCCGGAGAATCTGGCAAGAAATCGAGCTGAGTTAGCTGAAATCAGTCCGGGTCCAGGTAAAAAAAGTTTATTTTCTGATTTTGGACCCAAATAATCTAGGTTAAAAGTTGAACTAGAATGCTTCCTAATAGTTCATACGATGTGATTCATGTTAATTGATTTCAGTAGCAGAAAAAGATAAAGACCGGATTAAGAAAGACAATCATAACAAAGGTTTGTGTCTTCACTCACTTCAAAAAACATGTTTTGAGAGCACAATTTGTCAAATTGAGTTTGATTTTCAAGTTGAGAGACGTCGCAGATATCACATCAACGATCGCATCCAGGAATTAGGATTGTTATTGCCCCGAAAAGAGTAAGCAGACTTGCATAAACACTTGCATAAAACATGAAATGGTCCATGTGAACAATCTTCTCCCCTGAATTGACCAAGTGAACAATCGCCTCCCAACAATCTCCCCCCCCCCCCCTAAAATTAAAGGGCAAATTCAAACAGTAAGGCCTGCAAGTGCTATGCTCATATCTGATAGGCTGAAAAGTATTACGTTTAACCAAGTGAACGATCTCTTCATTGATTTGACTAAGGGGGAAATTGTCCACTTGGTCCCATGAAATTAGTGTGACAGAAAGCTTCTCTTAGTCATGAATCCTATTTTGTCATTTTGGGTACGGAGACAAGGATGGAGAAAATTGACACCTTTGCATAAGAAGGAAGGTTTTTGGTTAATACGGAAAATTTATTCGATAGTAATTTATGCGAGAGTACAATGATTTTTAAAGCTTACAGCTCTGCCGCTAAATATTTTTCCTCCAAAAATGAAGATGATGTTTGAATGAATTATGACCATGTGGTGAAATACACTAGAATGACTAGTGTTGGTGGTAGGGAGATGAAGATCAACAAGGGCAACATCCTGAAGAGTGCCTGTGAGTACGTGCGGGAAGCTAGACAGCTAGAGGAGGAGTACAAGTTGATGGGATCCAAACTCCAAGACTTCGACAAGGTCGCACAGTGCCTCCTCAGCCGAATCAATGTGAGTAGAAACATAGAGAGTTATACTTTCAAGGTAATTTACGTTGAATATGATTTTTTTTTCTCCAATTTTCTAATGGATTATTTTTTAAAAACTTCTATGTAATCGCTTAGGAACTGGAGTGTAATTGTCAAAGAGCAGGAGTCTCCTATCCAAAGCCCTCTTCAGACCAGGAAATATCAATGCAAGCGGTCGCCTCCGGACGGCTCTTTGGAGGCTTGTCAGTCATCAACAACGGACAGCTTCTTAACTCCCTTTCTAATAACCAACCTCAAACTGCCAGCAGCACACCTCCGTTGCCCATTTCCCCACGTTCGAACTCGTCAAATGCGTTCGAAAAATCAGCTTCTCAGGGGCCTTATTTGAGTCCCCTGGTAGCCGCGAAAAGTCCATCGATGTCAAGGATCCCGACGGTAACAGGTCCCCGAGGCACTACAGATCAAGCAGCTTCAGATACTAATTCTGAACTTGTCAACTTGCTGAGCACCCAAACTAGCAATGGGCCATCTCTATTACCCTCCTACTTTCACCCTCAGTCTTCGTCCCAGTCTACCCATTGTTTCAACCAATCAGATCACAAGTTGAGAAATGTTCCATCTATCGTCATGACCCCATCAAGACAACACTCTTCGCATGTGCCGGTAAGAGCAGTAGTTCCTCAGAACATGCGAATATCAACGGGAAGTCACTCTGTTAGAATATCAGGAAATCATTCGAATGTAAAATCAGAGCCACTGACACCGGCTCCAGCTACGAGCGAGTTCTGTCAAGGTCAAGAAAGGCAGCATTCAGAAGCAGGGAAGTCTTCGGTATCTCCGGAAAACTCAAGAAACCAGCAACGTGCTCCGTTCAAACATTCCACTGGTCGGGCAATGACAAAATCTTGCCCTGATCAGCTACCTTCGCCCCTAGTGGATGTCAAACCAACTAACTTAGGAGTTTCGAATTGTCTTAGCGAAGAGTTGTCAGCGGAGGAAATAAATTTGTGCAACGTAGTGATGGATCTGGACTTCTCTCCAGATGTTCCAAGCGCACCTTTGGCCTTCGACCCAAATGAGATAGTTCAAACTGCAAGTAACAATGGATCGCAAAGTTTCATGGACCTGCATGAGGGCAGAAATTACAGGAATAATTGCTTGCCAGATGTGTCCCAGAATTCGCTCGGATGCAATCCAAATGTACCTATCAGTAGTGCCATGGACGACCAGCAATTTGATTTCGATATGTCAATGGCCGCAAACTATTAGAAAAATAGAGGGTAATATTTGTCCAAGTAGTGGAAGTAATGTATGCTCAAGTTCAAAAATCAAAAGCATCCAACAAAAATAATCGAAATTTTTGCGAGCTTGCTGTAAGCTGTTCTGTAAAATGATCAATTGGTGTAAGGATATAGTCTCTTAAGCGACTTTTCACTCCCTGATTGTTTTTGGAAGCATGGAAAAACAGCATTTTGGCTTTTGAACTCGTTAGGAAGATTTAGTCAATATTTACTGGTGAATATTAAACTGAACTTGCTCCCCTGTTTTACAGTCTGATTATGGTTGTGCTCTTAGAGCACGATGTGATTAATAATTTTAAATTGTGTAGTGCCTTATCGATATAGATGATTAGATATAATTACATATTGTTTTATGGTTGTACTGTGCATTGAACAGAGTTCACCACATAACCCGAACTTAATCAAAGTTTTGCCAGACATGTTCTTGTGTCTATTACAAAACAAGTAGTTGTTTTCGAAGGAGAACTCTGTTCAATTCCTGATTTGAACAAGATATATTTTCCAGGTAGTGTCTGTAGAATCTGATTATCGATTAGATCATAATCTGAGCAGAATCATGATATTAATTCGAAACTTTAACATGCGGATCTGTTTATTTGTAAAAGGAGCTATAATTGAGTGAATCGCAATTTATTGGATAGACATTTGAATGAATCGATTGATTTTAAAAACTTGTTTGAAAAAAAAACTGTAAATTTAAACAAAATGCAAAACTTATATTGGAATATTACAATGCAATGTCGATCCGATCAATAGCAGCAGATTTAGGTTTATTGTAACTTTGACAGTTTCGTTGAACCCTTATGCTCCACTAACTTGATTGTTGCATACTTAGATAGATTATTTGCGTAGCTTAGTTAGATGTTAGTTAGGGTTAGTTAGATTACTGATATAGTACATATTCGCTTATTGTTCTAATTCGCAGAAAGGACAATTCACACTTTCACCACATGTTTTTAAGTATAAAAGAGCGAAGTGATTTTCACTTATATAGGTCTTGATATTTTTTCAGGAAGTCTTATAACTTGTTCACGCTCAAATTTACTACGTTCAAGAATCGAAAGTGAATAAGCAAGCAGGAAAAAATTCAATAGTTTCTGGTGCAAGAAATTTGTCACAACTCATGAACCATTTGCAGAATTCAAGGAGTGTTCGTTGACCAAAACAAAATAGTTTGTTACTTGTTTTTCCCAAACAATTGATTTTGGATGCTGCACTAAATCTAGAAAAATATAATAACAGCGACGCAGCGAGTGAAACAATCAGTGTGTGTGTGTGTGTGTGTGTGTGTGTGCCGACGGTACTTCAAGTTGATTCGGAAATATGACTTTTATTATTGTTGAATGCTCTCATTTTTTTCTGGTTCTCGTTCAGATTCGGTAATAGCCAAACTAACCAAAAAAATGTTTTTCCCCTCATTTTTGTTGTCGAAACTTGCACTTGCACAGCAACTACTACTATCCTTACCCTATTTTGTCTTTTGATTTCTTTTCTGCAAGTGACGCGAAGGCAGAAAAGACGTGATAGACTTCCAGATTAAAAAAAGGATTTAAACAAAAGGTTTTCCAGAATTCTAAAAACTTTTGAAATCCAATTAGCTCTAAAACTATGTTCATTATTTACTGAAATCAAAAATATTGGAATTTTTATAAAACCAGCGTTTTTGAGTGAATTGACACTTCCCTTACTTAATGTTTGGTATGTGTTTTCTTTGCAAGGTGTTCTTATTCTTTTCTGGCATTTCATTGGATTGATTTGTGATTGTTCTTCCCAGTTTGAGGGCTTGATTTGTTTCAAGTGCTTGACTTAGATAGACAATGTGCCTGTCCAATTTCAAAAATAAAATGAAAAGAGGGTATAACTTGTTTTTAGTAATTTCAATTTCATGAAGTTTTGATTGTTTTCCATATTTTGTTTTTATCCTATCGATATCTCGTTTGAAAATTCTATCGCTTAAATGCAGTCTAATCGTTAAAAAAGCAGAAAATTTTTTGAAATGTCAAATGTAGTTTTTATGCATGAGGAGAAAGGATATGCAAAAAGACTGCTCGTATCAGGGCAAAGGCCTGACTGTTCGGACTGCCCTTTAACTAGTTCCGAACAGTTTTCGTTGAACTAAATATTGACTAACTTCGAATTTCAGGCTGGTAACATCAAATTTTAAGTGTTAAAGTTAGGGTCATGTATGGAATTAAAACGACCAATTAGCTTGTCTCATTTCAATTTGAACAATTTTGAAGTAAAAAAACGAGCAGATCCGGTCGACAAACCTCATGTTTATATGCTGGTGTGCACACCCGGATAGGTACACGCAGTACCAGGGATCAATCCTCCAAATGAGCAAACACTCGTTTAAAAATTGGTCTGAATCAAAAAACACCCAAGCATATATTTTCCTCTTTTTTTTTCGGACCAACAAGGTTTCTTCAGATATTCCAACAAATGAGACCAGGCGACAACCGTCTACATCAAAATATTTTATTGCAACAGCAAGGAAGGAATGTGTATTTTTTCCCATTTCAGTGCATTGCAAGTAAACGGATTATTCGTTCCAACTTTCGAACAAAAAATGGAATTTTTATGCTCGGTTCGATTTTTTTGTTCAGTCAGTTTTCGACTTTTTAACTAATCAACTTGATGGCAATTTTTTATACCCTCTAAAGGATATTGTTATCCGGAGCTCAAATATTTGACAAATACCTGTGGTCAATTTTTGTGAAGTTGTTTGGATTTGAAAATTGCTAGTTTGGCCAATTTGGGATAATTAACGCGAGATATTTTGCGTTCTTAAATCGCGTTTAATCATAATTGAAATGAGGCAAACCATTCAGTTTTATTATTGTTCCGACTTTCGATACGAAAGTAACGGAATATTTGTGCTCGGGGTGCGGTTTTTTTCTTCAGACAAATTTCGACTTTTTAACTAGCCATTTTTGACGGAATTTTTTTGATATCATTCAAAAGGTATTGTTGTCCTGAGCTTAAATTTGAAAAGATATTTCACCTGTGATCATTTTTCGTAAAGTTATGAGGGTTTAAAGATTGCCATTTTGGCCATTTTGACCAATTTGGGACAATTAACGCGCAATATAATTCGCGCTATTAACGCGTAAGCGAGATTTAATCCGTCTTATAAATCGTTCCAAATTGGTTGAACGAAGCTTATTTGCCCTAATTGATTTGTTACAAGGAACAAAATCTATCTTTTTGTACTTTATATGGCGTGTGGGGGGATGATTTTCAAAAAAAATTTTAAATTTTAGAAAAAAAAATTTCATTATTTTATTTCATTTAAGTTTTTTTATCTATTACTGCTGCTCAATAAACCTTAAAAGGCAATCGGAACATTCAGGGCTTCGCACTGATACGAGCAGTCTTGTTAGTATTAGTACATAGTTTGGTCAATTTTGCGTAAAAAAATTGGCCTTTAAATGCACTCGCAATATTAAGGGTTTTGCACTGATATACGAACGGTCTTGTTCTGGCGTTATTCGATAAGCATTTATTCGATAATGTTCACTGGATAGATTAAAAATACCTCCAACTGCGTTTTCCAAATGTTTGCATAAATCATTTGATCAATAAAAAAGCAAACATCCCAAAAAACGTACCAATGTTTTTCAATACTTTGAAAACAGTTGACACCGTAAAATTCAATAAAGAATGCTTTCTAGTCATCAAAGCTTTTTTCATTCCCATTCCAGTCACATTTTGATTCAACATGGAATCAAAAGCAATGCAAAACTTAAGATGACAAAAAAGAGTCGCGGAAGCCGTTAATTTCATGTTAAATTTGAATCATAAATTCGCGTCTTGTTTTCCACACGATGAAATAATTAGCATGCAATTTTTCGTTTTTTTTTTAAATTTAATTTCGAATTTAGCTGCAACAAGCATAGCGACAAGTACGAGCTGATATAAAACCGATTGAAGTTGAATGAAAACACCAATTGAACAGTTAACAGCTCTTGCATTTATCCAGACATCTTGAACATCAATGTGATGAAATAAAAAGTACACGATATTGAATTCTGTTTTCGTCTAAACCGTCACTTAAAGAATGAGCAAAGAGAAGCCAGGATCATCCAAGATCATATTTTCTGATTGTCTCAGCTAACACGTATTTTAAGACCGTTGTGAACATGCCTAAATTCTCTTCAATGACACGAGTACTTCTACCAGAAAGGGAGCTTTATTGGATGCCTAGGTTGATCAAAGATTTTGTGATACCAAAGCGAGCTTCTGACAGACATGGCAATGAACCGAAATTTCTCGGCCCGGTGGCTAATAAACGGCTAAAACATGGTTCATAAGGAAAATACGTAATTTATAAGCAAAGCGAAATCTTATCATCATAGTAACATATCACAAAACATCATAAAGTCACATTTAGTTTATAAATTACAGTTCATTGCTATGAGTGGTACATGGAAAGTACATATAAAGTATGACATAACAAATAACAGAACATATGAAGGTTTTTTAACTGCTGAGTTCAGTAGTAAAGGCCGGCTCTGTTGGACATCGAAAGCACCTCGACGTCTTCCACGTTAGCCGGCTGGAGGTTGGCGGGTCGCTCAGATACCGCGAGACTAATTCTGAATAGTGTTTCTTAGACTGACGGGAACTTGCATGTATCTCTATCATCCCGCCGGATAATGGCAAACATCCTACGTATTATATTATGATTTATACTGGTCGTATGATCTTCATAGTTGTGGTGCACATAGGTAAAAGTAATGGCCTTTAGAAGAAAAGTTAATTGTTTACCAAACTGTTGTTTTACGTTACGTGATTCTGTTTGTCAATACATCCGTATTAAGGAATATAAATTGCTCATAAACTGGTGTATGACAATATCCATACCTTTTCGCGCGACAATTCCAGAAGTGCAGCACATCGACATCTGTGGCCTAAAATTAAAAACTTGTATTCAAGTATTTAGTAGTCTAAAAAAACAATCAGCCCATTGCGGCCCATTGACCCATTTTGAGGCTGCGGTTCGGCCAATGGGCGACCCGGCTAATTGCCATATCTGGCTTCTGGTTACTCTAAAGAGGGCGTTTTTTCGTAGCTCGTGATTCTAGGCCAGTCGAAAGAAAAAAAACAGTTTTGACTCCTGAGGTTTACAGAAGTTGACTGACAATGGCAATACTTTTTGGGTGATTAAGATTCCAATTTCAAATCGTAGTTTAGTTGTTTCTTTTTTTTTTAAATGATTTCTTTTGATTATTGAGTTTTGAGTCTTTTTTACTAATTTGGCGGCATATTCATGTCGAAAATGTGGCAAAATTAGGTTCGGCAATGAATAAAGTTCAAATGTTATAGACATAGCCGGGCCCATTTGCAGGTTGCAAATTAGAAAATTGTTCGTTGAAGCTGATGGTACGTCGTCGTTGATTGTAATGGTCATCTAGTTGTTAGCTGTCGTTGATCATGTTGGTCATCTAGTTGTTACTGTGGTCCAATACTCGCGAGAGTTTGACTGCTGGTCGGTGTAGAATCCCGCTGCTAGTTTTAATTTCGCAGGAGCGAACGATTCCGTCTGCACCTGGGAAAGTACGAAGTACCCGTCCCAGGGGCCAAAGACCTCGAGGCGTTAGGTCTTCCAGTATCCATACAAGGTCTCCTTGCTGAAGATTTTCCACTTGCTTTGTCCATTTCGTTCGGGTCGTCAAGGTTGGCAAGTAGTCTTTGAGGTATCTGTTCCAGAACTGTTGACTCAAGGCTTGAGCTTGTTTCCAAGTTTTCTTGTCCGTTGTGTGGCGAGGGAGAAACAATCCGGGAGGCAAATTATTTGTTGGTCGTCCTAGTAGAAGGTGATTGGGTGTAAGGGGCTCGTCGTCGGTTGGGTCTGATGAGACGTGGGTTAGCGGGCGAGAATTCATCATAGCTTCAACCTCGCACGTGAAGGTTGACAGAGTTTCGTCGTCCAGTGCCCGTGTTCCAATGACTTTGTAGAAGGCAATCTTAAATGTTTTTATGAGGCGTTCCCATGATCCACCAAAATGAGGAGCTGCAGGTGGGTTGAATTTCCAGGTTATTCCAAGTAATTGGCATTGATTGTTGAAGTCGTTGCTGTGTTGAATCTCAGAAAGGCTTTCCTGTAATTCCTTGTCAGCTGCAACGAAGGCTTTTCCGTTGTCAGAGAAGATGATCCTGGGTTTACCGCGTCTAGCGATGAAACGGCGTATGGCTTGTAGAGTTGAGTTTGTGTCAATTTGCTGGCATATTTCTGAATGAACTGCTCGCGTGACGAGGCAGGTGAAGAAGAGAACGTATTGCTTACTGTACTCGTCGTTGTTCCGCGTGGCAAAGGGTCCAAAGAAGTCAATTCCTGTTGAGTAGAAGGGGTAACTGTTTTCCGATAAAGGGAGTCGTTGTAGGGGTAGATCTGCCATCAGAGGCTTCACTGGTTCCTGTCGAAGGCGTCAGCAAGGTATGCATTGTCGAATAGTTTTCTTCAGATGCTTGCGTGATCTTATGATCCAAAAGTCCTGCTGAAGAATGCTTCGGGTGTGTTCCATTCCACAATGGGAATTTATTTCGTGTGTTTGCTTCATGAAGAGTTGTATTGGGTAGTTTTCTGCGTTCAGAATGACTGGATGTCGACTGCAAAGTAGAAACGGGGCTTTCTGTAGTCGTCCTTTGGCACGTAAGTATCCGTGATCGTCGATGAAGGGGCAAAGAGTTTGCAGAGGGCTGCGGGGTGGAATGTCAGATTTCTTTGTCAGGCATGCTATTTCCTTGGGGAATGATTGATTCTGTGAGTGTTTATTGATCCATGCGAATCCTAAGGTGAGGTGTTGAAGTGAGAGGCTCTGGCGTGTCTTCCTTTTGATGTTTTCTGCGAAGAGAAGAACATATGAAGTAACTCTGAGTGCTCTTGTCCAAGTGCTAAATCGGTTGAAGTCGATTACTGATGTTGGCGGTTGTGGGTCGTTGTCTGTCAGATGAATATCGGCTGTAGGTTGTGTTGGCGGTGGCGGGTGATTAGGCCAATCTGATGATGGTCTTAACAAGAAGTCTGGTCCTTTGCTCCATCGTGAATCGGTAGTCATGTCACATGCTTTGTAACCACGTGTTCCGTCGTCTGCAGGGTTGTCTTTGCTGGGCACGTATCTCCAGTCCAGTGGAGATGTTGAGTCCATGATGAAATTCAGGCGGTTGGCAATGAAGATCCGGCGTCGTTGATTCGGCGAGTTTATCCAATGAAGAACTGTTGTACTATCTGTCCATAGTGTCGTACTGTCGATTCGTATGTCATGTTGTTCTTTGATGAAACGAGACAGTTTAGCTCCGTTAGTGGCGGCTTGAAGCTCGAGATTTGGAATTGTCATTCTGCTGATGGGTGCTACTCGGGCTTTTCCAATGACGAACTTGAGTTCCGTTGTGTCGTCGTCGTATCTGATTCTGAGGTAAGCAACTGATGCTAAGGCAAGTTCGGAGGCGTCGCTGAATACATGGAGTTGGGTTTCCAGTATCTTCGTTTCTGGTTTGAAGTAAGTCCGGGGCAGGCAGATGTCGTTGAATTGGCTTCGCTGTCTATCCAATCGTTGAGGTCTGTTAAGTGCTCCATGTTTAGAGGTTTGTCCCATTGAGGTCCATTACTCCAGGCAAGTTGAAGTGATTGTCGTAGTCGAATTGTCAGTGGAATCGTAATTCCAAGCGGGTCAAAGATTGGAGAACCAAACTTCAATAGTTTGCGCTGCGTTAAGTCCTTCTTGTCAATGGCGTGAAACTTCTTTGCTTCCACAAGAAAGACGTCCGTGTCTGGTTTCCATTTCACTCCAAGAACTCTTTCGAGGGGTCGTTCCTTCTTGGTGAGGCTGTCGCTGTTTTCCAAGTGGTTCTCGTTAACTGTTGTGAGGAATTGTTGAGAGTTTGAGGTCCATTTTGTGAGGTTAAAACCTCCAAGGCTGAACATCTTTTGAAGGTCGTTCATTAACTGGGTCGCTTCCGTCGGTGTTGAAACGGCTTTGTATAGGTCGTCTATGTATATGTTGCGTTTTGTGATTTGCTCCAAGGCTGGATACTTGTCGGCATTGTCCTTCGCACATTGTCGAGTTGCGTAGCAGGCAACACATGGTGAGTCGGTAGCTCCGAAGATGTGGCGGGTGTATTGGAAGGTTGCGGGTTGGCCCGTGTTGTCCTTCCACAGAAATCGCAAATACGGCTGGTCCTCTGGGCTCACGAAGACCTGCATGAACATTGCTTCTATGTCGGCAGAAATAGCGATTTGGTCCTCGCGAAATCGCATAACGATTCCAGTAAGGTTTGTGAGGAGGTCTGGTCCAGTTAGTAGGTTGCTGTTGAGTGATACTCCTTTGTAGATGCTCGATGCATTAAGGACTCGGCGTACCTTGCCAGGTTTATTGATGTTTGTCACTGGATGATGAGGAAGTTGCCATTTTCCTGTTGAGTCTTCATGGGAATCATCAACTTTGACTATGAAACCTTTCTGCAAGTCGGTGTCGATGGTCTCCTGATATTTCTGTGCCATCTAGGTGTTTCTCTTTAGTCGTTGGAGAAGGCTGTCGAGCTGCTTCTTGGCAAGCCATCTATTGTTTGGCAGTTGTTGTCCACGTTTCCAAAGCATTCCAATTTCGTAGTGTCCATTGGGCAAGCGGGTTGTTGAAGATTCCAAGATGCGGAGAGCTTCCTTGTCGTCTGTTGAGAGGCTGTGTTGGTCAGTTAAAATCCCTTCGGCGTCCATTTTCATCCATTCAGCTACGTGGCGAAACAGTGTATCGTCTGTCGTGAAGTTGATTGTGTTGATGTCGTTGGGTGTCGCTGCATTGTCTCGTCCACAGAGAGACCATCCAAGTGGCGTTTTCCATCCAATAGGCACATTTTGTTTTGAATGGATTACTTCTGAAGGTGTCACGAGTTCGGCGAAATCGCATCCAATGATGATTCCGATTTCTTTCGACGGCAGTGTGGCTATCCGAATGTGTTGAAGTGGCTCGTTCCTTCGGCAGATGGAGTTGACGAGTTCAGGGTTGAATTGGGAAAGGTTCCAATCCATTATGACGTCGATGTCATTTAGTTGAAATGGCTGCTTTTGCTGGTTGTAGGGTCCAATCGAGATCGTCATCTTTGTAGAAGCTGTGTCTGATGATGTCAGTGCTTGGTTTAGCTGGATGGCGTCGTCCAATTGCAGATCTGGTTTGAGTTGGAGGGCGATTGATGATTTAAGCAATGTCAGTTTGCTTCCACAATCAAGCATTGCGTAGGCATGAACTCTATGTTTGCCATGAGAGATCGTTATTGGCAGGGTCGGAATGTGGCGAGTCGATTTCCTTCTGCTTATGCTGGTGCTGCAGTTGGTGGTGTCGTCATGTTGTCTGGAGTTCCGGTTGGCTGTCTCCCTCTGTGTCGTCGAGTTGTAGGTGCTGCTGTTGTGCAGAAGTGTGTGGTGTTTCTTACTGCATCCATCCGTCCGGCAGGTTTGCGTTGATTGACAGTCGGCGAACTTGTGGGGGCTGAGGCAGTTGAAACATAGTTGTAGGTCCCTGGCATGCTGTAATCTGTCCTTTGGGTTCATTGCGATGAAGTGTTGGCATTTTCCAAGGTACTGGCAATTGCGTTTCTCCGGGCAAAAATCTCGTCGTTGATCCTTTTGTCCAGATTTATGTTGCTGCTGGCTGAGTTGCTGCTTCCGGTTGTTCTGATTGGCGCGGTGATCCGATGGTCCATGTTGGTGGGTGTGACCGTTGGATGATGATCCTTGAGTGTTGCTGCTGTTGTAGTTGTTGCTGCTGCTGCTGCTGCTGCTGTTTTTGGTGTTGTTGTTGTTGCTCGGCAAATCGCTGCATGCTTCAGCGTAGATGTTGAACCAATTGGTGAGGTCGATGAGTGATGGTTGTCTGATGTTGCATTGCAGATTGTATCTATTCCATTCTAGTCGGCAAGGGGTAGGCAGTTTTGACAAAACTGTTTGGACATTTGTCGTAGAGTGTAGATCGTGCTGGAATCCAAGTGTCGTGAATGTATTGTCTGTAAGAAGTTGGCGAGGTCCTTGTAGCTTCTGGTATGTCGTAGATTGGGGCCGCTGATGGCGTCGAGTCGTCGAAGGAAGGATGTAACTATCTTCGTCGGGTTACCAAAGTCGTTTTCCAGTCGCTGAAGGGCTGCGTCATACATTGCTCCATTGCATCCATATCCTCAAATGAGAGATTTGGCATCTCCGGATACAAGTTTCTGCAGATGTGTCATCGTTTCCGAGTTTGTCATGTCGGTGCTGTTGATGGTTGCGTTGAACAGTCCTATCCAATCTAACCATTGTTCAGGTTCTCCGTCGAATATGAATGGTTTGACAATGGGCACTGATTTCCTGAATGTCTTCGAGATCGTTTGATGATGGTTGTGGTCTGTCGGTGCTGTTCCAAGGTTGGTCGGAATCGGAAAATAAGTCGGCTGGTTCTGATGTGCTGCATGTTGATGTGCTGCATGTTGATGGACTGCATGTTGATGAGGGGGAGGTCGGTTGATATTTGGGTGAGTTGTTCCTGTTGGTCCCCTGCAGCCTGCATGAGTGAAGGCTGTTGTTGATGATGTTGGCATGTTCGTAGGGTTGTATGCTGTCGTGGTTCCCAGAAATCCTTCCTGGTACGATCGTATGGCAGGTTGTGTACATTGGTGAGTCATGGTGGGCTGGCTGGAGGTCCAATTTGTTGCTGTTCGTTGATCTCCTTGGTTTGTTGGCAGTAGTGCTGGTTGTGCTGGTATCGGTACTCCGTTGATGTTTGTGATACCCTTAGCTGTCGTCTGGTGTCCACTGAACACGTTGGTGGGGGGATGATTGGTTGAATTCTGATTTCCAATCGTCAAGATGGGTCTAAAGGCGCTATTCGGATTATGTGTCCTCTGTTGCTGACTTGGAGGCTGGTATAGTCCATGTGGGGGGTTAGCTGTCTGGGGAGCAAGAATTGGGTGTGTGATTTGCTGTCCAATCATTTGACTCTGAGCTGCTTTTGAAGTTGCTGTCGGAAGAAATATTGGCGCTGAAACATTTCTTTGTTGGGTTGCTGGTGCGTTCATCTGCTGATTGAAAACTTGGATTTGAGTTCCAGGGTTGGAGTGCGGTGACGTTTCATGAAGTTGAGCTTCTGAGTTCGGTCTTTGTCCCACTGTTGCTGTCAATTGCTGATTGTCGATTTGGAGTTGAGTTCCATTGTTCAATTCTATAGTCGTTCCTTGAAGTTGAGCTTCTGGGTGGTTCGGAACAAGGTTTGAACTTTGTGACAAGTCGGCGTTCGGCTGCTGCAATGAGAGGTTTGACTGAGGATGGAGGTGAGTTCCATGGGCAGTTTGAGTTCCAAGAGTTTCTGTTTGTTGTTGATGAATGCGATAATCCAAGGTATTGGCGTCGCTGTTAGATCCGGGGCGAAGTAGGAGTCCTGAATTGTCCTGGGCGGAATTTGATCTGTGGTTTGAAGTAGCGTTTAAGATTGCTGGCAATCCTGAAAATTGTGGCAAATCGTCCGGGGTGTCCTGGTCCATGGTGACGTTTTGTGTAGTGGTACTACGGGTTAAACTTTCCGTTTGGCGTCGAAGGGGAAGATTTTCCAAGGCTTGTCGTATTATTGAAGGCGTCGAGACGTTGCTGGCTACTCGTGATGAGTTTAAAGAAGACGTGGCAGTGTTGTTGAGGGTACGCTCGTATCGTTTTGATCGTAGTTGGATCGTTCGGTACAAAACTTTCAAAGTTTTCAATCGTTCAATGATTGAGTCTTGCTGGTCCGTTCCGGTGCGTATTATCTTGACTGCTTCGTTATTGGCATCGTCAAGCATGCTCTTCAATTCCATTAAGAAATCGTTTATGATCTGTACTTCGTCGGAATCGCTTATGGCTTGGTTAATTGCTTTTGCTAAAATTTCTACGTCTGTTTCTATGACTTTAAAAACAGCATCATAGGTTGAATTCATTTTTAATTGACTTTGTCTCCTAAACTTAATTCACTTTTTGACCTGTCAGACAAAATGTAAAATGTATGTAATTCCTTTGATTACATGGAACCCTCGCAATTGTATTGTAACAAAAAAAATGACTTTGAGTTTTTTTTTTCTTTGGAACTTACAATCCAAAAAAAAAGAAAAAAAAAGTAAACAATTTGATTGGTTAGTATAAGGATGGGTTCGTTGATTTTTCAAACAAAAAAAAAACCTTGGTTTCGGTTGCTTTGTTTTAAAAACTATTGTGCGCCAATGACAATGGCAATACTTTTTGGGTGATTAAGATTCCAATTTCAAATCGTAGTTTAGTTGTTTCTTTTTTTAAAATGATTTCTTTTGATTTTTGAGTTTTGAGTCTTTTTTACTAATTTGGCGGCATATTCATGTCGAAATTGTGGCAAAATTAGGTTCGGCAAAGAATAAAGTTCAAATGTTGTAGAAATTGACAAAATGGTTTTAGCCAAAAGTTGTCAGTGGCTGAGCAATCAATTGCTTACCCTACATGTTTATCTTGCAAGTAGTGAGTAGTGGGCTCCGCTATCTTTTCACTTTTTTAATTACAGAAATGATAAAAAAAAAGATCATTTGGAGAATCACAGGAGGTGGTTGCTGACTCTTAAACAGTATCAGAGTTTGCATTGGAGCAATTGTTTCCCACTGCAAGCCACAAAGGTTGGTTTTGTTCATAACAAGCAAACTTAAGGAAACTGCAAGAGATGGAGTTAGAATCAGATAATTTCAGTCCATTAATTATGCAAAATTTTGTATCTATTGCTTTTGTACTTAACGATGATGTAATTTGCATGATTACAATCAAGTTTCTCATTTCCAAAGTGTATGTTTTTTGAGACTATTAAGTGCAACAAAACCACTTTGATGGCTCTCTGAGCCCTAAGCCCTCTTATCAAAGTCGCCTTCCATGGCTCGTCGCTTTAACAGGGGTTCTCATTATACTCTTAACCATTAAACGGCCAGACCTGAGAGTTTTTTTCCAAGAAGCACGAATCTTTAAGTGTAGCAACTTGCCTGGCTACCCACCTTACGAATCCGAGCTTTTTAAAAATCACCGGTATTTAAACCGTCCTATTGCATCATATGTTCCACAGTGCTATAACCATTGTGGCGTCCCCAAAAAATAGCTTTTAACAATCATCAAGGGATCCTTTCACAACACTCAAGGCTCTCCACTAACGCCGGAGGGATGAGAATAACAGTCGTCTCTATTCGAAGACCTGTAATACAACAATTGGCGCAATTCGGTGGCATCAAAGACAGTATCCGAAGAGGGCAAGCGCAATACAAAAATGCTGGAAGACCCCCCAGGTTTACACTTGCGTAAGCAAGGCTCTCCAAGGTTCGCAGTTTTGTCTCTTAAGTACTGGGCAAGGCGTTTTGTGTTGTTAGCAGATGAGAACTCGTTTGATGAACTACTGGTGACATATCAGAAGCGGAAGTAAAGCGACTCCTATATAACTTTATATCGTTTTGGCAATAGGAAGTAAAAATACCAGCCAAAGAGCTCAAAACTTAGACCCCATTAGATCC